GGACCTCGACGACAGCTCCCGCTACTGCACTCGGCATGGAGTGAAGAGACCTGACTTCAAAGGCTCCATGCTTAAGTGTAATTCTGATGACGTTTTCACTGATGAAAAGAAACAACTACTACGCGAGCAGATAATCCCCAACGCGGTACGGATGCACAAGGACCGCCTGCTGGTGCAACCACTCAGAGATAACATCCGTGTTGAACACTTCACTGGGAGTCTTTGCTCTCAGTTTACGATTCCCCAGTCTCACCACACCACCGGTGTACCGGATACCGACTTTGTGCTGTACGTAGCGGCTGGACCAACTGTATCTGGTAATCTCGCGTGGGCAATTATCTGCCAGTTTGACTCTAGCGGCCGCCCCTTGGCTGGTGCTTCCAATATTGGGTCGGTAGACACTATGAACGTTATCTCTTCTATACGTACCTTGTCACATGAGTTACTACACGCGTTGGGATTCGACTCTTTAATATTTAAGAATAGAAACATGGTTGATACTGTGTCTGTTCGCAATAAGCCACCAAGCATTGTTCTGTCCTCGCCCAAAGTGGTGGAAGTTGCGAGGGCTCATTACGGGTGCAGTACCATGCAGTTCATGGAGTTGGAGGATATGGGTGATGATGGGTCTGTGGACTCACACTGGAAGATGCGCAACGCAAAGGATGAGTTGATGGCTCCTGCTTCAATTGCAGGTTTCTACACCGCCATCACCATCGCGGCGATGGAGGACACTGGCTACTACAAAGGCAACTACGGCAATGCTGAAAGCATGGTATGGGGTAAGAATGCCGGCTGTGTGCTGTTTGATGAGAACTGCGTTATTAACGGTGTGTCGCAGGTGCCGGAGATGTTCTGTGACCGTAAAATTGCTTCCAACAGTAAGTACAAGTGTACATCAGACCGGATGGGCATTGGAAACTGCATGATGGAGTATCATACTAGCTTACCACCATATTTCCAGTATTTTCCCAATCGGAAAATGGGTGGAAAATATGACTGGATGGATTACTGCGCATACATCGAAGCATATTCAAACACTATGTGTTTAAATGGAGATGCAAAAATGCTGCCCGGTTCTGTGTTTTCAGAATCTGCGCGATGTTTTTCATCATTCCAGAACATTCCCCCCCAGATAAGCGAAGGCAAAACTATGCTTTCTATCTGCGTAGACGTGCAGTGTGACAAGAGAACCTCTAAGTACCGGGTGCGCGTGAAGGGCGCCAGTGATTTCGTGGACTGCCCACCCGGAAGCACACTTGTGCTCTCGGACTACAGTACAGAATTTAGGTCTGGCGCAATCAAGTGTGCACCATACGAGGATGTATGCCCTAAATCCCTTTACCCCGACGATGACCGCGACAATAACGACAACGAAAACAGCAGCACCACATCCAGTACGAGTAAAGGCGCGTGCCTGTTAGCCATAACGCTTGTGGCGATTTTGTTAGCTATGATTGGTCTTTTGATTTATACCTGGCGCTAGCGTGCGTGAAAAGGGTAACCGCAGGAAACATTCACAAGACAGTGAAACGAACAGTGAAATTAAGACAGGTGCGCTATAAGGTGACTCCTGATCGTTTATTTCATTTTAATAGTATTACTTTTTTTTCCATTTTATTAAACAAACAAATCTTCCTTTCTATATATATATAATTTGACTTTTTTTTCGTTAAATGTACGTGAGGTATTCTTTCCAATCGGCGTGTAAATTTTAAATTGTGTCTTATTGGAAGTGAGGAAACCACCGACTGGGTCGGTTTAAATGTTGTATATACTTATTATAAAAAAATGCTAAAAGCTATGTAACCAAAAGACGAGTGTGGAGTGAACACTCCGGATCGGATGTAGTAAAACTAGTAGAA